GGGGAGGTGTTGGGGGATATTGCACTTCTAATGAAAGTGAAAGAGGCGTGAAAGTATTTCAAAAAAAAAAAAAAATCATAAAGAATGGAAATCCTGATCCAGAAAGTTCTACGTGATTAGGCTACCGTGTAGATCTGTTCGTTCCTGAAGGGCTACAACATAAAGCTACATTAACTTGGTGGTACCTGTTTATATAATTTTATGTGCGCTGTACTATCCGCTTTGTGTTACGACTGTTCATGCATTGATTATCTGACCAAGAGCAAATGAATTTTAAGTATTATAGCCTACGCGTTGGGTTTTAAAGTAACAGAATGGTAAAAATAATTATGAGTATATTAAGCTACTTTATGGTGTTGTCCTCGTGTCTTCATGGACGCAAAAAGTATTATTTATAGCTTGTTTAAAAATTCTATCTAAAAAATTCAATTCATCCTAGATCTATACTTAAACGAAAGTCGAAAAATCTAGGTGAGTAACAAGCAGTGGATTGACGAGATAGACAATAAACAAATTCTAGCTTAACACCATTTGAGAAGGCGTAACAAACGTGAGGTGTGCTGACAAAATGAGTTACTTCTCGGGTTTCAGCCTTATGGAAATTGATACATCTACCTTTTTAGGTGAAGTTTGTACAATTTGTGAGCATGGAATAGTAAAAGACACAATAAACTTTAACAAAATGGCATCAATTGAAAATCTACAAATCTGACCCCAGTGTCAATTTTCAGCCGATATCTCCATTCTTGGATCGTGGGAAGTAACTCATTTTGTCACCACACCTCACAAATAATAATTAGTAATTAATTTTATTAATTGGGGATCGGTCCCGATTAGTATTCTTGGCTGCGACATCTTTTTTTGAGCAAAAATCTGGCCAAACAGGAAATAGTATCGACCCAGTGCCAACAAGGCTGCAAAGAAAAATCTGGAGACAACTTTCGAAGCCGAAACGAAGCTGGAGCAGACACAGTGACACAAGAAGAGGAAGAGTGAGGCAAAATGGCGAACGAAGTTACACATGCTCCCAATAAAACATGGGAATTGAGTTTATACGAGCTGCACAGAACGCCACAAGATGCAATTACGGATAACACAGAAATAGCAGTTTCACCGAGAAGTCTCCATAGTGAGCTCATGTGCCCAATTTGTTTGGATATGTTGAAGAGTACAATGACAACAAAGGAATGTTTACACCGATTTTGCCAAGAGTGTATTATTACAGCCCTTCGTAGTGGAAATAAAGAGTGCCCTACGTGCAGGAAAAAACTTGTTTCGAAACGTTCATTGCGACCTGACCCTAATTTTGATGCACTGATATCTAAAATTTACCCAAGCAGAGACGAATATGAAGCTCACCAGGAAAGATTGATGGCAAAACTCAACAAACACCACAACACAGCTGCCCTCACCAACAGTATTGAAGAAGGTTTGCGGCTTCAGGCCTTGAATCGGGCACAACGGGTGAGAAAACAAAATCAGAATACTGAAATGGGTGCTCGGAGAAATGATGACGATCCAAATGATGATAATTTGTCAGAGTCTCAGGGTTTGGCAGATAACGATGAGATGTCAAATCAGTCGAACGATGCACTGCAGCACAAGCCAATAATGAAGCATCAGTTCTCAGATGATTCGAGTGCGGAAAACTCCACAGGTGAAGCTAGCATGTCAGAGCAACACTCAAGGGGTAGTCCAGAACCTGCCATACCCCAACTGATCAATGAGATTGAACTGATTTTCAAGCCCCATCCTCAAGACTGCGATGGTGATCCATCGTCACAGACCCGTTACATCAAGACCACAGGAAATGCCACTGGTACGTAATTTAGTAGTAGAATCTAGTAGTATTGAGTATTGTTAACACATTGTTTTTTGTAAGACAAGGTAACAAGGTTATGGGGAAGGATTTCCATAACGAGTGAACACCCCAACAAACACCCTAATCAGCTAATAATCCAAGCCCTTGTAGTGACTTGTAGCCCTAGCCCCAACCCTGACTCTCGAAAACTTAACCCTAGCCCTAGCCCTAGTGTCTACGTACACGGTAACCGGGCACCTAGTCTCAATATCTACGTACACGGTAACCGGGCACCTAGTCTCAGTTTCTATCATGTACACGGTAACCGGGCACCTAGATCTAGACTTAGTCTCAGTATCTACGTACACGGTAAACCGGAATGAAAATAAATCAATATATTGTCTTGTGCTGTCACTTGCTGAAAATAAAGAAAGTCATACAAGAAGCGTCTTGTCGGGCTCACCATCGTGACCGGTCAGTGAACCTGTGCGTGTGCATCACATTGTGAGTACCGGTTGGGGGTCACCAAAGTTCATTCAAACCCTATGCGCTGCGAAGTATAGAGCTCCGGAATGGGGGGATTATTTATTTTTTTAAAGGTACAGTCGAGGGAGGGGTGGGGATGAAGGAAACACCGGATGACAAAAACTGAACTTTGAGTTTTGAACTGCCCGGTTACCGTACGTGACACTGAGACTACAGGCCCGGTTGCCGGTTACCGTGTACGTAGATATTGAGGCTACATGCCCGGTTACCGTGTACATGACACTGAGACTACGTGCCCGGTTGCCGGTTACCGTAGACCCTCCATTTCTTGTATTCTCAATCTTACTTTTACCGCTTCTCTTCTAGCCCTAACCCTAACCTTTAGATTCCATAGTGGTCACTTGTTACAGAATTTTATACCTCCCAAGGTGACGTAGACTAGGGTCTTTACTTTTACACTTTAAGTCGTTACTGTTACACCACAAAGTTGTTAACTATTGCTTCTTTACTCCAAGACCACAATTCAATGCTTTAATTATATTTGCTCTGGTAACACTTTGGAGTTACACGCTGGTACTGAGAGGAAGGGCAGCCAATAGAGAATGGTTTCTGTGCCAAGTGCACTTTTCCATGTAAATGTTGTTGGGGTCAAGGCCAAGGGGTCAGCTACCTCTGTCATTTTTCTGGTTAAATTGATTGAAAATTCTTATAATATAATAAAACTTTTCAACATACTGTGATCTCTGTAACTTTTGTTATTCAAACGTACCAGAGTCAATGATTCAAAATTCGGATTTTGAGATCTGATTATAAAAACTTTATCTTTACCCGAAGTGGGCTATCTCTATGCTGCATGGTGATTTTTTTGTATAAAAGTTGTGAGGACAAAAATCAATTTGTAGAAAAATGATGCTTGAAAAAAACACAACCAAAGTGCATTGCATGGGTCTGAGTAGGAAATTCTCAGAAAAGCCAGAGCGGTAAATTTTTACTTTCCACTCCGGCACGCAGACGCACTGCTTTTGAGGTCAAACTGCAGTATAGTATTTGCTGCAGATCACACACATAGCCACCAAAACTGTCGCCAATTAATTATTTTCAAGAAAATTTCAATCTTAACTATGCAAAACATCAAGTAACTGGGGTGTATTCCCCTCTGTAACTTGTAACCCAGATTTTTTTTCTTACTTGAAACCCCACGATTGGTCCAAAGAGCAGAAATTTCTACACTATTGCCTGGTGTGGTAAGTTCCATCATAAACCGTCAAATATTTTTAAAACAATTACTTTGCGATGGAAATTAAGTCAATATAAATTGTTTTCAGCGCATTGTAGTTTTGATTTCAGTCTCAGCACTAGTGGGTGGTTGACGGGTGCTCTGGTGTGGTTTGCTCCTTCTTTCCTATCAAAATACCTATCGTCTTTGTCTCTCCTCCTTTTTTGTGTATGTAAACTCTCTTGTAACACATATCTATTCTTCGTCACTTATATGACCTTATTGTGTTGCAAGTGCCGTAAAACTCTCGTTAAAACTAAACTAAGTCTCAGCACTAAACTAAACCCAATGTTTTACTGTTTCAGTTGACCATTTGTCCAAGTACCTGGCCATCCGTTTGTCGATAGACACTTCAAGTGACTGCGATGAAGGTATGATCATGATAATGATGTTTTTATTTTATATTATTATTAGACTCGAACTAATTTTAGGGGTATCCGTGTTTTGCGTTTTATTTTCTCTCTCTGTTTCTGTTTTTTTTTCCTTGTTACCTTTCGAAATTGCTTTTTATTGAAATGCAAGGTTATTTTTGGAGAACAAAAATTATTGTTGTATAGCTTGTTTTTTTAAAAATTCTTATAGAAAAGAGTAAAAAAAAAGTCTGATCAGGCTTGACATTTTAATCTTTTTTGATAAATTATAATTCATAAAAAAATGTGTTAGGTGTTATTGACTTTGTTGTTCTTTTGTAAAGCTTTTTTTCTTTAGTATTTTTAAGAGAAATGTATTAATTTCTACTGCTGTACTTTAAGGTGTATCTTTTTTGGAAATATCCTGCCTTGTCTTGTATCAAATTTTGTATACTAATTTAGACCTTTTACAAATTTGTTGACATTACGATAAAGACTCGGTGTTTGGTTTGTGGATGCTCTGGTGTGGTTTGCTTTCTTCTTTCCTATCAAAGATCTGTCTTTATCTCGCCTTCTTCTTTTTTGTGTTTGTTACTCTCTAGTAACACCTCTAATCTTCTGGCGCTCATATGACCTTATGCAGTTGCGAGTGCCGTAAAACTCTTACTAAAACTATAACTCTAATCTTCGGCACTTATATGACCTTATTGTGTTGCAATAATCTTACGAAAAAGGAAAAAACCTCTTTAATGTCCAGGTCTTTCTCCTTCACCCACGGCCATCTGTGTAAAATGTCCAGGTCTTTCTCCTTCACCCACGGCCATCTGTTTAAAATGTCCAGGTCTTTCTCCTTCACCCACGGCCATCTGTGTAAAATGTCCAGGTCTTTCTCCTTCACCCACGGCCATCTGTGTAAAATGTCCAGGTCTTTCTCCTTCACTCACGGCCATCTGTGTAAAATGTCCAGGTCTTTCTCCTTCACCCACGGCCATCTGTGTAAAATGTCCAGGTCTTTCTCCTTCACCCACGGCCATCTGTGTAAAATGTCCAGGTCTTTCTCCTTCACCCACGGCCATCTGTGTAAAATGTCCAGGTCTTTCTCCTTCACCCACGGCCATCTGTGTAAGTTGTTCTTGGTCTATCCCTGCCTCTTTAAATTTAAATTGTTGGTGGTTGGCGGGTGCTCTGATGTGGTTTGCTCCTTCTTTCCTATCAAACATCTATCGTCCTAAATCTCCCCTCCTTCTTTTTTATGTTTGTTACTCTCTTGTAACTCATATAAATAATCTTCTGGCGCTCATATGACCTTATGCAGTTGCGAGCGCCGTAAAACCTCTACTAAAACAAACAAAATTTTCATTTCTTTTTTTTTTTTTTCAAGCGAGAGCGAAGTTTTCAAGGCTTTTACTTTTTTATGTCTAAGTTCAAGTAGTATTCCAGACGCTCTATTTGTCTCTTCCTAATTGTTTTTTAAATTTATTACTATTATTGGTGAGGGACCCACTCTGGCTTTAAATTTCAGCTTCTTCACATTCTATCTGCACTGATACCAAATTTGTTCCTTTTAAAAAATATTTTCCAGAGGAAGTGTCGTCTGGCAGTCGGTTTGACATCTTCGTCGCGTCACCTCCCGGCCATTTTGTTCTGCTGAGTGGAACCACAAATCTGGAGCATGTGAAAGACAAGTACTGGAAAGTGAACAAACCCCTCGAGATCTTCTACTCGGTGCGCAAGTCAGCGTCGCAGTCGACTGTGAAGAAAATGCATCCAGACAAATGAGGGGCGCCTTCTTAATAACTCAAGTTTAAAAAAAAAATTTTTTTTTAATCTTAAAGTTTGACTGGCAAGAACAATATAAGCATCTTCACCTTTGTAGCCAGAACATTTGGTCCTGTTTTTGACCCCTCTATTTTCTTGGAGCTACCTTTGGTCACGTAATACGATGCTGATGAATGTACCGTGTAGCTACCCCCGTTTAAGTTAAAAGTGTATTCGTCAAGATGTATCAAGTGTTCATGCTGTCACACACTGGCTGGAGGCGCAGTGACTTGTTCCTTGATTGGGAGGTTGGCTGCATTGGGGAGGACTGATATATAAAGATTTGCAAGTCGTGTTCTTTCTTTCAACTTGTCTTTTTAGTTGTGATGGATGTTTTAGTAACCTAAACCGTTGTGATGGATACAACACAAAGACTCAAACTCTGTACAACTCGTAACTAATAATGTGCCAGATGGTGTAGATATTTGTGCTTGTAGATACTCAGTTGGCGGACTCCAACAATTTTCACAGCTAGCTAATCGCGGGCAGTACTGCATACAGGGGTATCTCAACGGCCTCCAAAAATGACTATCATCTGTATGCAATACTGCCCGCATAATAATGGTTATCGGCTTAGAGAGATATCTCTGTAAATAAACCCACTGCCATTGTAAATTTCACACTACCTTTGTAGAGTGGTGGCTGGTGACCTTGAAGCTTCTCCTTTATTGTAAGATTTTACAATTGAACGTTACTGTGGAGTCCTTGCAACCCCTTCCCTGCCTAGGGGAAGTAACATAGCTCTGCCAGGGTGCAGAAAAATGTTTATCAAGTTAAAGAACTAATACTGGTTTAATTTCTTTTTTTCTACATTCTTCTTCTGAAACTGCACATTGTGTATGGAGTATTCAATAAACATTCATTTGCAAGCAAAGGAAAACACTTCCACAACATAATTTTTTTCTTCTTTTTTTTTTTTTGGATTCATACATGTTTTTTTGTTTTTTTAAAGTTCCCTTTTTTTTGGTGGTTTATTGAAGAATGTATTGAATAAAAACAGTAGTAAAATGCCCCAAGCTTAGATTTCACCAGCGATGTCGTGGGTGTGATTCTCTCAGTGAACTAGTCTGTCACTCACTTTCCCATTTACAGCCAGTAGTGCTTCTTCGTGTGATTCGACTTGTAATTCTCTCCAAAATAAAGAGCAGACTTTGTCAATCAGGTGCATTGTCTCATGGTTTGTTTGTGTCTGGTTCCCTTTCTAATGCAGACGACACGAACCCTGCAGGCCCTGCTCTCTCTTTTTTTTCTTTTTGAGCAACCTTTTAAATTAAACTGAAAAGCAGGCTGAACGGAAGATATCTGGTGGACCCTCCCAGGGGGTGGGGGGGTTAAACGCCTTTGACAGACTATCTGACGAGTTCGGTGATTGGCAGGTGCGCTGGTGCGGTTTTCTCCTTCTTTCCTATCATACTCGATCCATCGTTCTTTTCTCCCCTCTTTTTCTTCTCTTGTAACACCTTCAGCATTAATTTAATTTATGTGATTTATGATGACCTTATTGTTTTGCAAGTACCGCAAAACTTTGACTAAAACTAAAGACTCTCTGACTAGTGTCCCATCGCATAAGGGCTCAGATGTCACATGTACAGCTTCAGGTTGTGGTAACGGCAACTGAGGAAAAGATTCGACCACATGGACTTGTTTGGCTTTTAAAAAGTCTGAAGGAACTGTGGAACTGTAGTAAGCTTTAACGTCCTATCCCGATTCTTTGAACTGTGGTACAATTATGCAACCCGTCGCTAAGGGCCCTTAATTATATGCTTTGACTCTGGAGCGGACAGTGCAGATTTTATTGTCTCTTTACAGTGTGCCAAATTTTTGTCACATGTTACATATTGTGAAGGAGGGGTCCGCTTAAACTACAGAAATCTGTGACTGTGAGGCTGCCAGATTTTCTTTAGTTTAGCCATTTTTTATTTTTTTTTAGCTACAAGTACAAGAGATGATTCACTGGCGTCTGTAGTGTACCCTGTGTAGCGGTTAAGTGCTTCGCTGTTGCATGCAGGAGACTTGAGTTCAATTCCTAAAAAGTGCTTTCTGCTGGGATGTTGTATTCCTCTCAGCCTGGTTCGGCTTTGACTTTGACAGGCAGGGTGGGAAGCCCACCTCCTAAATATTGTAAATAGTGTTAAAGGGGGTGTAAAACCCCTCCAACTTCCTACAATAATTAGAAATGGCTCAAATAGCGAAGAAAAAATTTGGGATACTATTTTGTTTCGGTTTACTGCTAAGGATTAACTCTGTTGTAAACGAACTCATCTGTATTTTTTATCCAGGCTGATAGCTTAAAAGTAGGACCTTTTCAGAAGATACGGTAGTGGGAGGGGAGTATTAGTTTTTGTTGGGCATGCACATGATAAGCTGTTCAAGCGGAGCAATTTCTTCATAACTTTCTTCACACGGTTAGCTTTATCAAAACCGTTGTGCTGACATTAAGTCTGTTTTTTTTTACCCCCAACTTGCTTGGAGCTACGGTACCTTGATTGTCAGTTAATGTGATGCCCGTTGATATTGCCTTCTGTGTGTCTTTGAGAGAAAATTCTTAGAAAGCTCAAACATACTGGTAACATTTTGTGGTTGACTAGAGATTTGAGTCTTGGACATCAACATCATATTTTTCTCAACAGTCGCCTATCATTTAGTTGTAGTTTAAAGAACTGTCACTCACTTAATGAAGTAGTGTGTTAGTGTATATATCTATATAAATAAATTATATTATTATTTTCTTTTGTTTAAATTGTAGCATGGCAGAATCCATCTGAAATTAGTCCCTACCTTTTTTGTTTTTGTAAAGTTTGTAAAAAGGAATGGATGTTGTGGTGTCTTTGTTCTTTTTGTTGATTTTTTATTTTCTAAATTGTAACTTTTCTCTACTCGACGTGGGAAATGTGCAGCAGAGGTGCTGAGGTTTGCTTTCTTTCCACCAGTTATGTTGTTATGAGACGAAGATACCATGTACAGTCAGGCACGGGTTACTCAACATGTCAGGGGTTGTTGACAAATGTGAGGCAGCGTGGTCAAATCTTTTGGGCTCGTCAAAATAATGAAATTGAAAAAGAAACCGGCATTTTTCCCGCCTGCTTGGACTTTCCTTTTTTGGCCCAACTCCTTAAAAATTTTTAAAAATACACTTCCATTGTGTGGGTTTTACTAAAAATGTTGATCAAAGGACAATTTCCTCTCTAGCTTTTTTAACTCCATGTCTGACAGAACCCACTTTCTTCAATTGCAAATATCTGGGCTTCTATTCTAGTCAGAAAGGTACTTTTTCTTCATATGACAGACAAATGAAGAAGGTTTTACTTTAAGATGATACTGTTGATACCAATAACTCCATATCATCATCATCCAGTGCCAGATCTGCGACAGACATCGGCGATCATGGTTTTCCATTCATTCCTTTGCTCGGATGTATATATGCCAAAAAATTGACGAGCGTTTTATTCCACACAAATGCGTTTGACTGTTCCATAATTTTGGTTTAACGATTTAGTGAAATATTAATACGGAGATATCAGTCGGGGAATGGCAACTTGTATGGTGCTATGTGTTTTTGACCCCATGTGGGAACCCCATTGCAGACACTGACTACCACGAGGGGACCGTTGAACATCTTCTCCTCCACTGCCCAAACCTGGCAGTTCTTCGACGCAGGCTCCTACACACACCTACAGACTTACAAAGCCTGCTCTACTCTGGCGCTGACCAGATGACAAGGACATGTGGTTACTTGAGGGAGGCATTACGCTGCCAAGAGCGAAATGCTCGCAGCTAAAGGGATTTGAAAACAACAACAATATGTGATTTTGAGTTTCCTGTGTTCGTGTTGTCTGTGCCGGACTGTGTATGTGGATCTCTTGCAATAGTTTTTTCAGGTTCTTATTACTGTGTGTTCCAGATTTTGTTACTCACTCACTGTTCCATCTAATTATTCTAATAACGGAATGTTGTTTGATTTCATACCGAATAATGAATGACCATTATTGTGAGGCAGTTTTGTGAAATCAGGCGCTCGTCAAAATAATGAAAGTGAAGAATCCAGTATCTTTTCGATCCGATTGGGCAATTTTTATAGAATTTTTGTTTTTTGGCTCAGCACCTTTTTATCATATTTTATTTCCATTCAAAAACACGTTTTTGAGTTAATTTTACTGAAAATGTTGATTAAAGCACACATAAATATAAATATTTAGTTTCCAAGGACTCTCAAGCTGCTAGTATGAAAAGTCAGCAAACTTTGGCCCCCATTTTCTCGTTAATTTTTCATTTTAAATCAGGCGACCCCGACCTTCTTCAGTAAATTAAGTTGCAAATATCTCGACTTTTGTCCAAGATAGATGGGTATTTTTTGCAACGAAAGCAAGACAAATAAATGAACAAGCTTAATTAAAGATGATACCAATAACTCCACATGCCGAAAAATTGACGAGCGCCTGATTCCACCGCGCTGTGACACATTTTTTTAGGAATCTTGAAACATGAAACACCTGTCAGTGTCAGGCAATGGCCGTGATTTTGTGTTAAGATGAAAAAGCTCGGTCTATAGGCCGCTCTATTGCTACATGTATGTTTTCTCAAAGTTGATGAAGAATTTGGTAGAGGGTTACAGGAAGAGCTACAAAGAATAAAATCAATAATCATGTTCTGATTGTGACTTTCTTTGTTTTTGTTGAGTGTGTAAGTAAATTCTGTCGGTGGGTAGTTGGCAGGTGCTCTGGTGTGGTTTGCTCCTTCTTTCTTATCAAACATTTATCTTCCTTTCTCCTCCTTCCTTTTTGTGTTTGTTACACTCTCTCCACTCTCATGACACTTCTAATCTTTAGCACTTAGATCTATATGACCTTATTGTGTAGCAAGGGCTGTAAAACTTTTTCTACTAAAAATGTATTCTGTGAATTTGTCTTTAACTTTAGCTGTTCCTGCTTCTACTAAGTGGGTGGTTGGAGGGCGCCACTGGTAGGCCCTACTTCTTTACTTACCCCTCTGTTGTTTTTGTCTGTCTGTCTGTCTTACTTTAGTCCAGCTCTAAATGACCATCATAGTGTCGATGTGCTTCTCTTTACTCAAACTCAGTGGGCGGGTGGTGGGTGGGTGCTCTGGTGTGGTTTGCTCCTTTCCTATAAAAAAATCTATCGTCTCTATCTCCCCTCCTTCTTTTCGTGTTTGTTACTCTCTTGTAACACCTCTTATCTTCGGCACTAAAATGATCTTATTGTGTTGCAAGTGCCGTAAAACTCTTACCCCAAAAATAAACTAAACTTTACTCAAACTCAAACCAACAAAACGTTTACTAAAAGTCCGGCCACTGTGTTGTCTGTGAGAGCACTCAGATGACCTTTACGTGGTTGGGAAAAGTCTGATGGTCGTTTTAATTATGTTATCAATCATGTGCAGTCCGTGGGAGGTTGGCGGGCGCTCTTTTGTGTGGTTTGCTCCTTCTTTCCTATCAAATATCTATCGTCCTTATTTCCCCTAATTCTTCTTAGCGGGTGGTTGGAGGGCACCACTGGTACATGTACTCAACTGGTAGGTCCATTTTTATTTAGTAGAGGTTTTACGGCACTCACAACTGCATAAGGTCATATGACGATGAGCGCCAAGGGGTGGATGTCAACAGAGAAGTCTTTACAGAGAATCAGGCTTACTCTGCTCACCTCTAGCTT